TGGCTACATTCTCACCAGCCATCATACTGTTCACTTGGGCCTGGCTACATTCTCACCAGTCATCATACTGTTCACTTTGGGTCTGGCTACATTCTCACCAGCCACATGGGTTTAAAGGCCTCAACATATATATAATCACAATATTTGGGGGGGGGGGGGTACGTGAGGTAGTGCGTATAGCACTGTAAACTAACATTCTACACTCTTTAATACCTTCGTATACATACATAATTACATTAATCACATAAAATCCTTTATTTCCTAAAACTCAACCCTGCTATAGCATATGATAATTCCTCAATTTAAATCATATAATAATATCCTAAATTCGCATATAAACCATTTAACTCAACAACGCTCAAGACCTGTCACTAAGGTCATTCTAACCCTCCTGGGATGGAAGAACTACAACGAAAGTCTAGCGGTCAACCCAGGGTCAAACTACCCAAAATTGGTCAAACAGGCCCGCGGGGCCAACGACCTCCAAATTATGATCCGAAAGTTCCTATAGGTTCTACAAGGTCTAGGACACACGTCCTGCAAGTTTGGTCCAGATCGGACGGTCGGATCGCTCACGATCGTACGATCGGACGGTCATTAAAACCCTAACCCTAGGGTTGGCATTTCCGGAGTATCCGGAACTCCATTTTATTATCCGTCAAATCCTACACGATCCTAGTAATACCTAGATCAACATATTATAACTTCAGGACCATCCAACGGTCCAAACCTAGCGAACCCGAAAAATACGCGATATGCGATATCCGTTCGGAACTCTAACGGTATCCAAAATGAGATCCGAGCACACCTACATGCTCGTGACATCGATAGGATCGCAGTGGGACAAAAATGCCCCTTAACTACCGTGCCCAAGCGCCGCCACACGCGCCGGCAGCGCGTGGGTGTCCAAAGCGATATCGCATCGCCGGAAAACTTCCAAATCGAGAGCCAAGACTCCTACCCTAGGTAATACACCTAATTTGGAGTCACTTTTGTTCTTGGGCATACA